TATGTTTTGACTTGTTGTTAAAAATGTTTTAAAATTAGTATAAGTGGATATATTTCTTTTATAATTGAAGCAATAAAAATATGCTTCCTTATCTCAATTAATTAGCTTTCAAGTATTATTTTTTAATCAAATAAAAATATAAAATTTAACTAACAACTCTGTTTTAATTAATAAACTGACTAAAATTTGTTTTAAATAAAAATAATGTTGTTTTTTGTGTTCTATCAACTTTATAACATATAACTTGAATATAAGTTATACATTTTAAAAATGAAGTATTGTCAGTGAATAAAACTTAATTGTTGTATACTGTAAATCATTTAATCAAGTATTCTTTAAAACTTGGAAAAAGTTATTAATAAAAAAGTGTTGTTTGGCATATTACTAAATATGTTTTATTTTCTTTTAAGAATAGAAAATTAGTGCTTGAATTTTTTAATGCTGTTTTAAAAGAAAACAATTGAGTAACTAATAAAAATGGAGGTAGATTATTCTTGTAATGTTTTTATCTTTTATGAAAGTATTAATAAAGAAAAGAATAAGAAAAAAAGGTAACTATTTCCAAATTGAACCAAAAACAAAAAGAAAAGAAAAACTGAATTATTTTGTTTTTCATAAATTATATTTTTCACAGGAAAACCCTAAAAGAATTCAAAAATGAGAAACGATGGTCAAAACTTATTTGGACTACAAAGTTGATGCTCGTGGTGGGGCTATTTCAACTGCCAACATTCTTTATTTCAATACTAAACAAATATTAGTTGTACGTAATAAAACAGTCATTTTATTGAATACAAGGACAAATACTATTGAACGTAAATATGTTTGTGATGAAGAAATATCAGTAATTGCTGTAGACGATGAAAGAAACCACATCGCTGCAGGAACTGTAGATGGAAAAGTTAATATCTTTTCATGTTTAGATGGAGAATTACTTGTTACATTCAGTGGACATCGTACAGGAGTTAGAATTCTTGAGTTTAGTGAAAACGGAGAAATGGTGTTATCCGTTGCAAATGAACCAGAAATTGTAGTTTGGGACATTGTTAGAGAAGAAGGTGTTTGTCGTTTTAGAGGACACCTTAACATGATTCAAGGTGCAGTATTTATTCCAGGGTTTGTTGTTTCTGTTGGAGATGATGGATTAGTAAAAGTGTGGGATTTAGAAATTCAACAATGTCGACAAACAATAGTTGGACATCGTGCAGCTATTAAAGCAGTTATTGAATTAGAAGATAATATTTTGTTAACATCAACAATTGACGGCAAATTACGTATTTTACAACGTGTTGATAATGAAGATGATATATTGGAAATTAAAGGTGAAGGAGTACTTGCTATTGGAGGAGATGTAGAAGAATTTACAAAGAAAGGAAAAGTTCTTGGGATGAGAGTGAATAATGGAACTTTGGGATATAGTGAAATTATTACATCAAATGAACGACTTCAATCAAAGAAAAGAAAAAAAAGACTTGAGGACGGAGAGTTTTTATTAACTGACTACGTTACCTTAAGACATGCCATGAAATTGAATACTGCAATAAAGTCTATTTGTGTTGGAGATGATGGGTTAATGGTTGTAGCTATTACAAATGGATTTAAAGAGTATAGATATAAAGATTGGAATCCTGCACCTCTTCAAGATCATTACAGACCAGATGCACGAGTGGTGTTAGTTTCTGATGACGATATCAAAGTTGCATGCATTGGAGATGGGAATTGTTCTATTTGGAATCCAAATGGAACTAATTTAGGAAGTATTGATTGTGGAAGAGCAAATACAGCAACATTCTTACCTGGAGGAAGATTTATTGCAATCGGTACTGTTGGTGGATCAATTGAAATTATTGATACAGCTGCATCTGTTGTCATTGGATCAATGACTGCTCATTCTGGAGAAATTACTGTTATTAAACCATGGAAAGGAGGAGATATGATTGGATTAGTAAGTGGTGGAAAAGACAAACAAGTGAGACTATGGATGGTTGATGTTCTTACTGATGAAGATGGAAAGAAATGTGTTACACTAACAAAAGAAAATGAATGGGAAATGGATGATTCAATTCTTAACTTAACTGTGTCAAAACAAGTTCTTGCTGTTGCTATGATGGATAACACAGTAAAAGTATATAAATTGCCAACGATGCAATTTTATTTATCATTGTATGGCCATAATTTACCTGTTACTGCATTAGACATTAGTGATGATAATAATATAATTATTACTGGAAGTGCTGATAAATCAATTAAAGTTTGGGGATTACAATATGGTGAATGTATTAAAACATTTAAGGGACATGAAGATTTAATTACTGGAATTGCCTGTATTCCAAGAACACATTATTTCTTTTCTGTTTCAAGAGATAAGTCATTGAGGTATTGGGATGCTGATAAACAAATTCAAATTAAAACATTCAAAGAACATAACGCTGGAATTCTTTCAATGGGATGTTCTACTTTTGGTGATTACATTGTTTCATCATCAGCTGACCATTCGTTTATTGTTTGGATGCGTTCAAAAGAACAAATTTTTGTTGAAGAAGAAGAAAATAAACAACTTACTCAACATTTTAATGATGAAGAATTAAAACAATTAGATTTTGTTGATAGAAATGCTCCAGATAGATTAGACACTAGTGAAGCATCAAGAAAAACAATAGAAACAATTAAAGATGCAGAAGATTTAATGGCGGTATTAGATTTAGTTACTAAAGAAGATTTTTCTATAAAAGGATATGAAGAAGAATTGGCACAATGGAATCTCAATCCTGTTGGTGATAAACCACAACCACCTGAGCCAAATATTTTATTGTGTGGATTATCGCCAAGTGATCATTTATTGAAACTAGTTGGTAAAATTTCTCCATCAAATTTACAACAAACATTATTAATGTTACCAACCAGTAACGCTATTCTTCTCTTAAGGTGGGTTGTTGATTGGTTAGAAAAAGATAAACGAATATTAATGGATGTTACTATTGCAAGTTTCTTATGTAAAGTTCATTACTCTTATTTTTCAGGATCAAAAGATGCCTCACTGATTGAAATGCTTGAAAAACTAGCCAGTTTATGCAAATCAAGAATTGAAAAATTACGTTTAACAACAGCAACTAATTTAGAACTCTTAAAAGTAGTTGATTTAGAATTGAATGATAAAAATTGATTGAATTTTTAAACAAATATATTTTTTTTAATTTATTTATATATGTTCCAAGTTATTTATTAAATAATTCATTTTAAGAAACTTTGTGGTTTTTTAGGTTTTTTTGCAATATAAGCTTTCTTTAATTGAGATTGTTCTTTTAATTCATGTTTTTCTATTAGTGGCTGTGTCTTTTTTGCTATATCAGGAATATTTGATGCATAATTAAATTTCTTTTCTAGTTTCTCTATAACTTTATTAGCATCAATTTTATCATACTCGCTCTGTCCTGTCATTTCATATTTCTTTTGAGAAACTTCTATTAACCATTCTTTATTTGCTTCATTTAAACTTGTTGTTTCGGAAATATTTCCATTCACTTGAGACAATGCAGCATCACGTACATAATATGGAATATCATATTCAATATCTTTTAAACAACATTGACACATATTTTTAATTTTTGCACAATTTAAACAAACATACGTTTTATTAATTAAGTTTGTTTCTTCCATTCTCCACTTGTAAACATCAAATGGTCGGTCACACAATTTACATGCCTCTCCCATTCTTGCTCTTTTCATTTTAATATACTTTTCTTTTGGTAAACAATTTTCACATAAAATAGGAAATCCATCACTCATTTTTTGTTTTTAAACTTAAATTGTTTTTTTTTATTCTTTTTTTATTTTTCTTTCTTTTTTTTTTAAGACTTTTCTATTCTTCACACTTTTTATTTTGATTTTTGTTCATTTTATTTACTCTTGTTTTATTTAATTACACTGTTACCATTTAAAAATGAAATATAATAATAAGCAGTACATACCTTTATGTCTTTGTAATGAATATAAAGAACTAAATAGTATGTACACATCTTAAAATAAAAAATGAACTAAAAAATAAGTTAAAGATGTCTGTTTGTTAACACATTAACTTCAAATCATCAATAATATTTACCATTCAGTGTTGTGGAAAAAGTGAACAAACACAAAACGCACAAAACCCAAAGGTAATTCCTGTAATTGATTCGAATAAACCAGCTGAATCACAATATCAATATGTATTCAAATACGTTATTGTTGGAGAAGTTGCAGTAGGAAAGTCATGTCTTCTTCTTCAATTCCAAGATAAAAGATTCCAACCAATTCATGACTTAACTATTGGTGTTGAGTTTGGAACAAAAACTATTCCAATTCAAGGCCAATCAGTGAAACTTCAAATATGGGATACTGCAGGATCAGAAAAGTTTAGGTCTATTACTAGAAGTTATTATAGAGGAGCATCTGGTGCTTTATTAGTGTATGATATTTCAAGAAAAGAGTCATTTGAAAAAATTCCAATTTGGTTAGAAGAATGTAGAAAATATAGTAATCCAAATACCACTATTATGCTTGTTGGTAATAAATGTGATCTTCCTGATAGACAAGTTACTAAAGAAGAAGGTGAAGCATTTGCTAAAGAAAATGGATTGTTATTCTTGGAAGCATCTGCACGTGACGCCACTAATGTTGACAATTGTTTCTTACAAACTGCTGAAGTCATCTTTGAAAATGTCAAGACAGGTAAAGTCACTCTTGACAACGGTGATGGGAGATAAAAAACAAATTTGAATTCAACTTCTAGTTATTTTTGTTTTTTTCTTTATATTTTTGTTATTAGAGATAAATTTGTTATAATAATATTTTTTTTATTATTTAAGATTTAATAATAAAATTAATTTTTTTGTTTTTAAAAGAAAATATTGATTTTCAATATTTTACTGTTTTAAATTAAAAAATAAATAAACTAAAAATTAACTATTATTCAATGCAACCAATTCCTTGGGAAAAAGTTAATAGAACTGAACCATTACACGTTTTAATTACTGGAGCCGCTGGTCAAATTGGATACAATTTATGTTTTCTCATTGGAAGAGGATTTTTATTTGATTGTGATGTTATTCTTCATTTGTATGATCTAAACGATATGGCACTAAAAGGGTTATCAATGGAATTAACTGACTGTTGTTTACCAAAACTAAAAGGAGTCATTTCTACTACAGAAACTGAGCTTGCTTTTAGTAATGTTGATGTTGCAATTATTGTTGCAGGTATTCCACGAAAACCTGGAATGCAACGTAGTGATTTGATCAGTGTAAATAAAAAAGTAATGGAAATGAATGGAAAAGCACTTGGAACTTATTCAAGTAAAGACGTTCGTGTAGTTGTTGTTGCTAACCCTGCAAATACCAATGCTTATGTTATTTGTCAAACATCAGGTATTCCACCTGAACATATAACTGCATTAACACGTTTAGACCAAAACAGAGCAACTGCATTTGTTGCTAATAAAGTAGGATGTCAACCAGAATTTGTTCACAATATTATTGTTTGGGGAAATCACTCTAATACAATGCAACCAGATCTTTCATATTCATATCTTGCTGATCAAAACGGTATTAAACCATTAGCTAATTGTATTGAAGATTTTGATGATTTTACTGAAAAAGTTAGATATCGTGGTGAAGAAGTAATCAATACAAGAAAAGCAAGTTCTGCTGGATCTGCTGCTCACGCAATTTGTCAACACATTAAAGATTGGATTTATGGAACTAAGCCAGGAATTATGGTTAGTATGGGAGTTTGTAGTCATGGTGAATATGGAATTAATACAGGTCTCTTTTATTCAATGCCAGTGACATGTTCAGCAGGTGAGTACCATATTGTTGATTCTTTAATAATAGAACCAAGAATCAAAGATGCATTAACTCTTTCAGAATTAGAGCTAATTGATGAACGAAATATTGTTAATTGAAATAAAATATTTTTATAAAATAAATATTATTTTTTGAGATATATTTTTGTTATTGAAATATTAAAATGATATAGTTTAATTAATTAAAAATAATTTTTTAATTAGAAGAAATAAGCATATCGTTGATGATATTACGAGCTTCTAACAAATCTCTTCCAGTTAAGGAACCACAGTCCATAACTGGGATTTGGAAATTAAGAAGAGTAATGTTATGTTTTAATTTCAAAGCAACCGATCTCATTCCAGATACACCAACATTATTTTCGTCCCAATTAAGTTCGTTTAATTTAGAATTACTACGAATCATATTTGACAATGAAAATGCACCTTTGTTTCCAAAATTATGTCCACTAACATCAAGTACCTCTAATTGATTTTGACTGACAAGAGTATCAAAAATTGGAACAATATTAATACCTAATTTTTGAGACTCTTTTTTACCTCCAGCCATCCTTAAAATTTTTAATGGACATCCTGAAACTAACAAATTACAAATTGCTTTAACAACTTCTGTTGATGTATCACTTTGTTTCTTTGTTGTCCTACCAAATGAACCAGAAATATTTAATTCTTCGACAACAGTATTTTGTGTTAATGCTTCACAAAGGGAAATAATTCCTTCATCTCCAATATCTGTATATGAAACATTAATTGTTTTAATAGAAGTTAGTCCAGCAAACATATGAGAGAATGATGTCATAATTTCTGTTGTAAGCGATGATTCACTTAAATCTAATGAAACTGATTTTGCTGGAATTTCTTCAATGAACTTTCTTAATGTTGTTTTATCAATAACAGCTTTCTCTAAGGAAAGATTAGTAATTTGATCTAATTTGCTTCCAAGATTATCAACACAATGTTGGATTAATTCTTGATTGAAATTTAATCCAGTAATATCTAATTTAACAACCTTCTTTAATGCACAAACACATTTTATTAAACTTGTTTCTTTAGGTACTTCACAATCTTTCATGATTAATTCAGTTAATGATGGTAACATTCCATTAATTAATGAAACTAGGAACTCAGTTTGTGTATAATACATTTGAGCTCCAGAAATATTTAATGAACGTAATGGAATACTTGTTTTAATTTTTCTTAAATCATCAAGAAAAGCAGAAACAGTACTACTGTGTGTTAATACATTAGCTAAATTTATTGATTCTAGTCTATAACATCTTATAACAGCTCCAATAGCAGCAATTCCTTTAGAATCCATTTGGTTTGATGATACATCTAATTCTAATAACGGATGTTTTGGGTTATAATTATATCCTTCAAAAACATCAGCCCATTTAGAACCTAATGAAACATTAATTAAAGCAAGTGATTCAATCGTAGTATTTGTAGCAAGAATATCTTTTAATTGTGAATAACATCTCCTAAGATTAGTATCTTGTATAACAATTTTTTTAAAGAAATGGTTATGAGTAATAGAACAAAAAATAGGTTGCATATCAGTATCTAATAAACAATCTTCTTTAGTGTTATTATAATCATCATTATAATATTTACTAAGATCAAGTGTTCTTTCTTCTCCTGGTGTTTGTAATCTAATATCATTTGCAATATCGAAAACTAATCCATTATTCATTTTAACTCCAAATGATGCACAATTTGCTTTATATACTCCAAGGAATCCTCCAGATTGACTTTTATAATTTAATGGATATGGTAAAATACGAGTAGTAACTACATATGGTGCTTTAAGAGAGAATGTTGGTTTTCTATAATATCCATGAGCAAATGCTCTCATTAAATAAACAATAAACAAATTATTATTGTCTCCATTAATAAAGAGAGTTTGTTTAACAGCATCAATTGTAATATGTTGTTCAGCCCCTTCAATAACTTGAATTGAATTAATTTGTCTATTAAATACTCTTTTAACAAATGTATTTCCTTTTAAATCAACAAATGTTAAGAAATCTTCAGTAATAAAACATGCACATACAGTAGCATTTTTCTTATCAATTTTATCATAAAGAATAACATCATTTTTATCTTTTTTCTTTTCACAAATTACTGTTCCTTTCATAATAAAATAACAATCTAATTTTTGTTTAGTAATTTCCTTTCTGAATAATTTAACTTGTTCAAGATCAAATGCATTTAAATGATTACATTTTCGTTCATAACTTCCTAAATCTAACATATTTTCTAAAAACAATAATCTTAAATGTCCTTGGAAACCATTCATTAATGTATTTGCTTTTTCTGAAAACTCTCTATGAACAGATGAAATAGCACGAGCATCCATTAATTGACTTTCTTTTAATGTTGTAATTGTTAAACTTGATGCCTTTAAATTTTTTAATGCAGCAACACGTAATCTGCTAAATGATGAATCAATAAATGGATTTAATGGTGCCATATACCCATGTCTTTTATTACTAAATTTTTTTCCTGCAAATAATGTTTTTAAGACATTTGTTAGAATAGTAAAATTACGTTCAACAATATGAGAACTTTTCTTTAATCCTTTAATATGAAATTTTTCAGGATTTTCAATAATAGACATAAAACAATTTTGAGTGAGAAAAGTAACAGTCATAACGTCAGCTTCACCTTTAGGAAGAGTAGGTAAATGTTTAATAACTAATTCTCTATAAACATTACAAATCTGGAAGATAGTAAGTGGAAGTGATGGGAAAAAATCAGTGACTATTTTGATATATTTTTCAGTCCAACTTTGAAGAAGTTCGAAATTAGATTCAATCTCATCATCATTTTCAACAAATAAATCATCAATCTCAAAAGATGATTTTAAGTTTATAAATTCAGTAAAGAATTCTTTGACTTTATCAACAAAAACTTCTGGAACAATTGCCTCAAATAAAGATTTACATAATAAATTTGTTGGACAATTTTCTCTCATTAATTTATCAGTACCTGCATTTTCTTCAAATTCTAAATTCATGATTTTTTGAATAAAATTTATTGTTGTTTGGGTTGATGCTGTCATAGCCAAAATACCTCTACTCGTACTTGATGCAGTTTTTGAATCAAATAAAAGATTGAATGTTTGTGGACAATGGTCTAACATTAATAATACAATTCTTTTAAGATCTTCTAATTCTCTTTGTGAATAAATTAAATACTTTTCATCAACTTTTGGTGAATGACTTTTACCATTAAATTCTAATGGAAATTCTATTTGCATTGATTCCATCTTTTCTTGCATTTGAACTGAGTTAGCAGTGACATTAGTTATATCTGAAATCATTGATCCAGAAAATAATGATGACCCTGCTTTATCTGTTCCAATAGAACGTCCTGTTTTCTTTTCTCTAATTTCACGATACGTTTTAAGATCAGGTGGTGGTTGTAATGGACATTGTGGAATTGTTTTAAATTGTGATCGAATAACATTATAATGATTAGGTATGTACGATGCATCTGAAGTAATTTCGCTTGCAGAAATCCCATTAAAGTCTACAGAGAACGATTCAGAAATTGAAATTCTTTTTGATTCAGCCATATTTCTTTGTGTTGTTTTTTAAGTTTTAGATTCTACTTTTTTTTTGTTTTTTTTTTTTTTCGTTTTTTACCTATTTGAGACTCTTTTTTTATAAGTTAGCATTTCTCTTTTTCAATCCATTATTTCTTCTTTTAATGATATAAAAATAAATAATTTTTTCCAAATTTTTCTTTTTTTGATCTAAATTTTTTTGTCGTTGATTTTCCTGAATACTTAGTTTATTCTAAGCTATTTTATTATAATATAATTGTTCTATTTATAGAAATAGATATTTCATGAATTATTATAATAAACTAATAATAAATAAATAACAAAAATTAAAAATAGTATTAAAGAATCAGTAATCCACAAAAATTGAATTAAAACAGAAAACAAAAAAAATTTTATTCGATTGTTTTTTGATTGGGATTGATTCTGAAATATTTATCAATAAAGAGTATTGAAGCATTCTCCTCCATGAAATGAGCCAGTTGTTCTAAAAAAGCTTTCAACTCATCCATTTTATCAAAATGGATTTCATAACAAATTTGAGGTAGTTTTGCAATTAATCTTAGTAAGTGTTCAGCACCATAATAATCACCAACCTCATCAATAGAATTAACTTTTTCTAAAACTTGTGCGTATTGTTTCTTTTCTATTTCATACAACAAAAATGGTCCAACTGTATGACAAAATAATGTATAAAATGATACTGCTAATTCTTTTATTTCATCATCTTCTGCTGTTTTAAGGAAGTCTTGTATTACTTTTCTTGCACTTGGAGTTCTTGGTAATGGAATTAACTACAATAATTATTATTTATTTGCAATTAGTTTGTGTACTAAACTATTTAACAAACATTACTACTATTTGTAATCTTATCATTTTCATCCATTAATCTAATACATAAACTACTTGGTAATTCTATTAAAATTGGAATATCCTAAAATGTAGTTTAGTTATTACTTCTTTTTCTCTTTTTTTCATTAAAAAATATATAACAAACTTCTTCTTCATGATTCTTTCTTGTTCTTCTTCTACTTCGGTGTTCTTCACATAATTTACATTCAGGAGGACAATTTAAATGTTCTTTTGCTTCATGGGCACGAAGGTATCTCAAAGAAACGTAAGTTTTATCACAACCAAGATGTCTAATAATATTATTTTATTATGTAATAAACTAACTCAAAAAAGAAAAAAAAACAAACCGACATTTGTGAGGTTTCTTCCCTTCTTCAGACATAACTATTATGATTTGTTTCTTTTTTAAGTTCATTTTTCTTTCTTTTAGATATTTTTTGTGTGGTTTAAAAAAAAAAAGAATTAATTAAAATAATCAGACCCGAAAGATGATTATCATGGTTAATCACTTAAATAAAGGATCATCATTTCATTATTATTATTTAACTTATTCTTTTATTTAAAGTAAGTAATCAAAATATAGAATTACGGTTTTTTAATAAATTTTTATTAATTCAGAATATTTTATTAAGTAATATCAACCCTAATTTTATATTTAGTTATAAATCTATTATTTATAATATCTTTTAAAAATTATTAATTTTTAGTAAAGATATGCAATATTTAATAACAATGCTTTTTTGTTGATAAAAAGTAATTAAGTATTACTATTTTTATCTTTGCTCCTTGTTCTGTGGAAATTAATCCCCATCCTATTGTAGCCAAGTAATTCAAACATGTATATTTAGTTATGACAGAAATAATGCCTTATGACACCTTTCATATTTTTTAATTATATGGTTTTTGATTTCTTTGACGTTATCTGTTCCACTTTTTAAGTTCATTCATTGGTTTGTTGCTTTATTATTTACTAAACTCATTTATTAAGTTGACCACTGAGTTTATTTTATCATACTTTGTTTTCTCAGTTCTGTTTCTGAAGCATAACAATACAATGAAAATCATATAAAACAATTTTATAAGAAGAAATAGATTTAAAAAAAACTAACAATG